TACAAGTTTTTATTTCTCTCGTTTGGGTTCCCCTTTAGGCGAGGTGGCCATTTTACGTATGGGGCGTCTTTGATCGTCATCAAGATCTCGGTCCGCCTCATGTTTAACGGTGTGTAGTCTGTCCGAACTGCTAAGGGAGCTCGGAACAGCTGGCTCGGCTTCGGCTCCCGGACTAGGTTTTTTCTTTTGTCGACTGGGGCTCGCCTTCCCTCTGTTCTCATGAACTTATCCGCAAGCTTGAGGAATTCGGCCACGGTTGCGGGCTGGTTAGCTACCATGTGCCATTTGAACTCCTTGTGTGTTACTCCTTTCTTGGCCGACACGAGCTGCACCGCGGGGTCCAATTGCGGTATTTGCAAGCACGCGTCATTGAATCGCTTGATATAGCCCCGGATGGACTGTCCTTCCCTCTGGACTACTCCAAAGATGCTCTCCTCGGTTCTGGGGCATCGCTTGCTGGTGACAAAATGCGCGGTGAAGACTTGCACGAACTGGGTCCAGCTTCTTATCGACCCGGGGGTCAGGTTCCTGTACCAAGTGCGGGCCACCCCCCTGAAGGTGGTGGTGAAGGCCACGCACATGCACGATTCACTGGCCCTAGCKAGGTGCATTTGGGACTGGAAAGCATCGACGTGGTCGTTAGGGTCGAATGACCCGTCATACTTGTCCAAAGGTGGGAGCTTGAACTCTCTGGGCATGGGGACTGCCAAGAGTTCCGATGCGAGGGGGGAAGGAACTAAGAGAATCGGGGCAGCTTTTACCTCGTTCGAGCTTGTCTCTTCTTTACCTCTGAGCTTGGGCAGGACACGGGTGGCAGTTCGGCAACTTTGCCGGCGCCTTTGTTGCTGAGTGGGCCTGGTGCTAGCGCTGCTGGCCTCTGTGTTGCCGAGCTCGATGGACCCGGGCTGTTGGTAGTCTGCCGCTAGGACGCTGAATCGATTCTCTGTTAGCGGGAGCTTAGACTTGGAGTGCCGAGATACTGACTTGGCGAGCGAGGTTCCCAACCCGCCGGTGAGTTGCGAGGCGGGGGTAATTTTTCTTTCCCCTCAGCCCGGGGATGAGGCCTGGCTCTTGTGGGGGTTCTGAGGTTGGGAGGCCTCTCCTCGATGACGGCGTCCACCCTGAGGGGTGGGCTTAA